GGACTAACATAGAAACCAAAAATAAACAATGTGTCGTAAACGTACATAAAAAATATATTTGGTGTTAATAATTTTACAAAAAAACATAGAATAGTGTGACTTCTTTTCAATATTTTTTTTTCTCGAGTTTATTATACCATAATAAAATATGTGTTTTATATCTCGAAATGGAAGATGGAAAACCAAGACCTCCAGTCCTTCAACAAAGATTGGTTTCACTGTCTAAACGTCGGACGAACACAAAACGACCAGTCGCGGTGGTTATATCCATGTACCTATAAAAGATTAAAGGGAAGTGGAGTTTCGCCATTTCACTGGATTAGCTTAAATTGACCGAATAAGAAAGAACTAACGAAGATACTACCTAAAGAGCCAGAAGAGCAATACATATTTAGTGTGGTTTGGCCGGCACGGCTTGTCATCGTAGTGCCCGTATATAACTCGACTGCAGTTGGCTCGGAAAAATCCACAGCCGTGTAAGCCATCAGTTACCATTTCCACCGCGATTAATGCACCAACGGTACACCGACAGATGGAAAAGCTGGGGACTACTGGAGATTTGAAACCGAGTGCGAAGACGCCGTCAACAGTTTTTGGGCGGTTAGTGAAATGTTTGACATGGGCCACGGTCCGACAGTCGCCGCCTCGGGAAAATGTCCATCTCCAAGTAAGTTGTCAGTAAGCAGTAACGCAAACGCGTCAACGATATGCCAACTGATGGAAAGTTTGGAGACTGCTAAAGATTTGGAACCGAATACATCTTCGCCGTCGAATTTAACAGTTTGCGGCCGATGAATGAAATGATTGGCATAGAGCATATTATTATTCCAATTGTTGACATAGAAATAAGTAATAACCAACCCGAAACGCAAAGCAATTAAAAAGGTACTTGTGGACTGCGATGTACAATCGTTTTACTGTTTATTTTTATTAAGCCAGTATCATTAGGTGTCTAATATTTAGGAAATGATGATCATTTTATCATGAACCGAGCAATATAATATAATAAGTTTATAATTTTAAGAACAACCAATTGATAGATAACTTAGAAAAAATAGGAATTAGTATGACTACGACTTAAAATTAAACTCAATATTACAATATAATGATTAGGTGGATCACATTGACCTCATTGTGGCAATTTTCAACGATTTGTCACTGTAGATGATAAACGAAAAATGAACGAATCCGACCAGAAACATTTTGTGAGTACCAAGTCAAACAATCATAATACTCCACCGCAGCTATATTACCTATACATACCTGTTTTTGTATGTATGATATATGAATTTGCATACCGTGGTTAATGGTTATATTTCAAATATTATCAACACTCCGGCCTTTAGATTAACATTTACATATTATTGTAAATTAAATTGCATTCATAAAATAAACTTTGTATTATTAATATCGTTATATTGAAATGTACTGCGTGCGAATGGTGGTGAATTTTAATTATAATTGATATTGACAATATAATATTTTTGTTGTATTAGGTAGCTGCCTTACGCGAAAAGAATGAAGGAGTCCAGCAATTGAAAACTGTGTTGCTATTGTATTATTAATTATTATTATTGAAGTTAAATTTTTATTTTTATTTTTAGTTTGTTACAGCGTTTTGAAAATATTTATTGCATTGATGTATAGCATCTTTATTTAATTATAATTTATAAAAACTGTTCAGTTGATTTCCACTCACTATTTTGTAATTTTATTCAAACAAAATACACTCGATAATATTAATTAAGTTGTTATGTGCATGGATAATTACTAATTGATAAACCATTTTTAATTTTCATGTTATTATGATGTCCACTTTAATAGTATTTTCAAAATTTGCACTTAAGCTCAATGTTTGAGTTAGAGTTAAAAAAAACCATGAAACATTTTTTTGTAAGCATTATCAAAATCTGACTTTTTAAATAGCAAATAATATATTTATTTAGAAATAATGTAATGTATAAATGATATTTATTTAGCTTATAAGTTAAGTAAGATCAATTACACAATTGTTTTAATATCTAGGTGTGTTGGTTTTTCCACTTCATTTTAGAAAATTAAGTTAAATTAATATATTATTTATTAATAAGATAAAACTTCTAGATTATTTTTCTTCGTGTAGATAACAGATAACTATTATTGTCTGCGTAAAAGCCGCTCCTGCTTAATGCTTTGGAATCGCGATTAAATCTTGCGGAATGTTGGGGACGGGAAGAGGTTACCCAGCTATATATAAGGCCTGATACAAATTTACATAATATGCACTTTCAATGGGTACAGCGCGCAATTTATATATTTTACAATAAGACAATAATAAGTATTATTATAAAATGCCCGGGCAATATACGCGTCTGCATGTTACTTGCGTCCCAAAAAAAAATATATTTTTCAGGTAGTAAATTTGACCGGTAAGTTGCGTCCCGTTTGGGGGGACGCAAGTCAGCCATATTATTATTATCGATATTATCTTCAGAAATCATTTAAATCGATAGTATCGTGTCACTAAAACCGAAAGTTCATAAATTGTAAATTCAGTATGATTCGGTAATGATTTATTATGACAAAATGTTTAACACGAATTTTTATATTATTATTATTGCAATTATTATTATTTTGATGACAAAATGTATAACATGAATTTTTATATTATTATTATTATTAGTAATATTGCAATTGAATTGAACTGATAATTTATTATAACCATTTTTATGTTGTTATTATTATAAATTAAATTTGTATCATCAATGTACGTTTTTATATCGATTATATCGATATTTTCGGGACGCAATTAGGTCATAGGTATACCGGGACGCAAATACACTATGACCTTTTTGAATCTTTTTTTTGCGGGACGCAACTCGCCTACTGATAATAATTTCGGACGCAAGTAGTATGCTCCCATATACGCGCTACAATTATAATATAATAATAATATGAATTAATAATGACAACTGCCAACATATGAGTTTGTCCACATAAATCAACTTAAATAATAAATTATGGACCTGGTTTGCAAGCTCCGAAGGACGTCGCGGCGTTGGTTCCATGCTGGTAAGGCGACAGAGTCTTCTACCTTAACGACCAACACACCTAGGGTTGAATTAATTTTTGCAGAAAACTTTGCATTTGAAAATGTTCATCGTATGTATATAATATAATAATATACTTCAACATACATACAACCTGCAAATAATTAAAATCGTTAATCTAGATTATACATATATATATCCCAATATTCTTTTATTATCTGTAACATCATATATATATATTATTCTCCAAAATTTTACTCTTTTATGAATATAACTTTACTTAGAATAAAATATTCATGGTTGTAATAAACTTAAAAAACAATTAGTTGTTTATCTTCTTCGTATTGTTTTATATTATGAATTGTTGTATACACTACCCAAAGTTTTGGCGTGTGTGACGTATAGTTTTTCGGTTTCCGATACCCAAACCTTTAAACAAGTATTTTCCGTAAGAGTTTATTTAGGTTCTCCTTTTGGCGATCTAGTGATGCTTAACGAGTACTGCACAAAAGAATAATTAAACTAGGTTCAACTATAGTTACAACTCTGCAATTTGCAAAATTATAGCAAAATATTAAAAAGAAATAGTTAATTTGCAGGTAAACATCGATAACTTCGTAAAAAATTGAACTTCAAGGTACCTATAATAAATATGTATATTATAATAAAATATATATTTAATATATTAATATGCACCTAAATGACTAAATCTGTCTACCTGTAATTTAAGGTCATAAAACGATGAATATTGTTCTATCATTATAATAGGTGCATGCAATAGTAGGTACCTATTATTTTTATTTTATAATATTTTATCTTACATGATCTCGCTATAGGTGTTGGTAATATAAAATATTTTAAAGCAAATTTTAACTAACTTAATTAAACCTAAGACTACACAAAGCTGTATACAAAGACTTGAAAACTACAGTTTAACAATAATAACTAAATTAGGCATTATAATATTATATAATATCCCATTTTTTGTATTATAAATAACAGCCTCATGCAGATATATTTTTTTTATTCTTTATCATATTTCACTAATAATGTTTTCAATTAATGTAATTTCTGCTACTGTACCATTTACTTTTCTTATACATTGTTTACATATTTATTTAATACTGTACTCATGTCTCATGTACCCTTGTGGCGTCAAAATCTAATAAATTAATAAAATTAATAAATAACTATATAGTTTTCTTTATTTTGATATCGGTAAATTTGATATATTATTTATGATTATGAACAGTACAACAAATCATACTTATTTGAGGCTAACATTTTTTAAAAACACAACCGCGTATTAATGATCATTGATATAGGTAATTGAGTCAATGATATAATTCGTAATTTATATTTATTCTTACTTTTTGACATTTTTAATACATACAATTATTTGTCTACAAGTCAAACAATTCAGATAAATGCGTCATAATTAACCTATTGGTACAGTAATTTATTAGTTATTAGTTATTACACAGTGATAAAATCACTTAATATTTCAATAGTTATAAGTTGCCTTGTAAATATACAAACAGTGTACAGACCAATTGCAATTATATTAAAATTTGGTTTACTTTTAACATAATGATAACTATAATAAAATCATTTTTATATGTAGAGAAAGGAAGGGTGATGATTAGAGCCAGTTTCAGATTGTATCATTAATAATATAAATATTAATACTTATTAAAGGTATTATACATAGTTCTGTACTTCCTAAAAATACTGAATGGTGTTTCGTAGCAGAGTGATAAAAATAATAATACAGTTATCATAGTAAAAAATCTAATAATTATATTATTTTTTAAAATGTACAATGCGAATTTCAATGTAAATGTGTGACTAAATAAAAATAGGTTACGTCAGATTATTAAAAATATAGTCTATAGCAATAGTATAATATATTGATTTATTTTTTTTATATATTTTTGTACGTAGATCATATAATAGTTTAATAGCATCAAAATGATTCTATTTAAAGTATACGTCTTTGTTGGTTTTTTATCCGTCTTAAAGGCACAAATACAATTGATGCCCAACTTGCCTTTGGTAAATTATAAAACGCTTATTTCATTTCAAAAAATACATACCTATTATATATTTTACATTATTACCAATTCGTTAAATAAGTTTCAACTGTTAAACATAAATTGTATTATATTTATTACAGGGTGAATATCGAATAATATTCAGGGCAATTTATCGAACAAAAGATTTACCGTTCAAGATTAATGAATATTTGAGTAAAAAATCAATTAATAGTACCGAAATGAGAGGGAATTTCTCATTGGATATACCTTTTGAAGATTCATATACAGGAAGTATATTTAAAATAGTAGGTATGTAATTTAAATTTACAATGGACGTCGGTATTATTAGAAAATTAATGATGTTTGGATACCTTCATAAAATTCATCGACAGTTTTTACTTTAATCGTTAAGGCTTGAACATTTTAATCAAGGTTCTGTATAAGCTAATCTAACAGAACTATAAGAATAAATAAAATACCTAGGATACATTTTTTTTTTATAGATATTTGAATTCCTTATTTTGCCGAAATTGATTATTTGGATGAAAATTGCTAATGATTTTAGATATTATGCTATAATTCAAAAAGTATTAATCAAAAACATTTAGCCATTACTTATACTACTTTATGCATACCTAATGATATTTTCAAAATATTTATACTAACTTAAAACGGAACAGTGGTTTAATCACAATAAAAATATATATATATTTAACTACAAACAATTTTCTTAAAAATCATGTTTTTGAGGAAAACAATAGATCCCAGGTAGCAAATTGGATCTAGTAGACAATTCAGAAAGTTGAATGCTTTAATTTGTATAGGAATTTAAAAATAATCAGAGAAAACTAAAAAAAAATGTATTGGAAATATGCTTTATAACGCAATAAAACTAATAAAGAGCGATTCAATTTTTCTACAAAAACAAAATACCTCATTCCTCCACAAGGTAGAAATTTCTTCCTCCTTCAATAAAAGACAAAAGTAGGCAATTGGGTACCACTCTGCTGTATAATTGTTGATCCTCTTTTCTGAAAAAATTAACCTTTCTCTTTACCGTTAGTGCAATAATAACATATAGGTATTTCCCTTTTCCGCTATCACAAATTTCAGTTTTTTTATTTTTGTAACCCCCTACTATGAAACACGTGAAGTTTTTGATAATTGCCAATAATTTTTTAATCGATTGTTAGTTAAATAAATTTTTAAAAAAACACATAGTTATATATAAATATAAAATAAGTACTTTATTATATATATAGGATTTTGTAAAATATAAACCTCATCATTAAAGATAAAAATCATGTAAACAAGTTATAACTTATAAATGAAAATAATATACAAATATAGGTAGGTAATACCACGGAGGTTTATAAATATATAATATTAATAACATCATTATTAAGTTTTTTAAAATTGTTCAATACAAAGTTAATATAAAATACAATTAATTAAGTTTTGTAGTTAAGCACACTACTAAATTCCACCAATTAGAATTTTTATACGTATATAAGTTAATTTTAATTATTCAGTTGTATATGGCAAATGTTATCTTGTGTAGATATAAAATATATATAGTAATATAGTAATATATTTTATTACTCGAAGTATCTACGTATCTCGCTACAAAATACAAATTTTTATCGTCTTATAATAATAAAAGGTATTTCACATTTAACTGTATTTTTTTTAAATTATCAAGATAACTCACAACACTGCAACCATCTATAATAAGAATTTCCGAATGAAAATTAATGTTGAACTATTTTAGTTAAAGTTTTAACTTTAACTTTTTAGCTAATCTTTTTAATTTTCAAATTAACTTAAATCTTAATCTATTTTTAACTTAACTGAATATTATTAATGTAAACTTTTAAATAACGAGTTACTTTTGATCAAATCCAAGTTACGTTTAAACAAACAATTAAATAATAAATATAATACAATTATTATTGATGATGCACATTACATAAATATTTACATTTTATTATTTAAACAATATTATTACTAGCTATTTATACATTTAAAAAAAGTTGATTGTAAGTTTTCATATACATTTTAACTTAACTGAGTTAGGATAACTATGAACTTTAAACTCTTAATAATCTTTTAATCGACTTATTTAAAAAATTATCATCTTCTTACCCAGACTTGAATAAAGTTGAAACTATTTACTATAATATTGGATATGATTTTATTTTGTAGCTTGATGCAAACTTTGCTTCTTGGAGCTTAATTGGTGGTTGGAAACCTAATTCTATTGTTAACGTAACTAATAATGCCTGTACTAAATTGAAAAATATCCTTGGAAATGCATGATATTCGATTCTAAAGGATTTCCATTTTTCAACTACAAACTGTCCACTACCCGTGGTCATAGTTAATATTTACTTATATCTTTATAATATTGTTTATAAGGTTTTGATATAACTGATGTGATCACTGATCATTTTGAATTATATGAAATTATAAAATTAACACGATTGAAATGAACCCAATTGATCGCCTATGTACTATTATGTTTGCACATATTTAGACAGACACGCGGGGAGCAGCGGACGACAAGACAACTTACAGCGGGTACGATTTAATTAAGACTGTTTATTATAATATGAAACGGCTATCGCAGTATCGCGCGGTCGTCGATACCGATTACATAATAGTATAAATATTAATTAGGTAGGTAACATACATATCATGTACTGCTGCAGTAATCAAATTTGGGTAGCTATTTTTTCTAGTAGAATAGAAAGATATACTGGGAGCAGTTATAATATCATACATTGACACAATTATAACTTTCGTGATCCTTATAAAAACAAAAAGGGGGTAAGTGGATGTCACTCTGCTCGATCTTTTTTGATAAAAGTTACATATCTAGTTAAATAACTTAAATGTGATAATGATGTACTTATTATTAATTATTATTGGATATTTACAGGGTACATATGAATCATCGGAATTTGACAAATCACTTTATAATGACAACAATTTTCCTAAAGAGTATTTTTATGGAAAATATAAATTTATAGGTAAGATAAAAGATAAAAAATATAAACAACTTGCCTGCATAGTTGCTGAGATGAGTGCTATACGGCCATGGGAATCACTCATGGATTGAAACTTCTATACTAAAATAAAGAAGGATTTTATTTAGTTAAGTAAATATGTAATTTTATAATTTTAAAATAAAAACGGTGTAAATCAAAAATAAATTAATTTAAATGACTATAGTTTGATGGTATATGTTTTTTAACAAAATATTAAAATTATTATACCTAATCATTATAATCCCAGTTGTATAGTCATCTAACGGTATTACAACTATTAAAAAGCGGTATGTTGTTACCTATTAACATCAAGTTATATTATATGGAATAATATAATATAATAATAATTTGGTTTTGTCGAAAATAAATACTTTTAGTAGTACAAGTATATAATAAAATATCTATACAGTACGTGTTCAGAATTCGAACGTCTAACACGTGTGTATCGCGAATGCGCTTTTATTAAGCTTCCGATAGCATCTTCGTATGGCCTCCGTTTTACAGGTAATATAAATACTATTTGACCGTTAAACGTTCTAATATGAACACCAACTCCTCTAAAGGGAGGAAATAAAACCTACAAACAAAAATGCACCTGCTAAAAACTCACAGAAAAATATAACAACCAAACCTTCAAATATACCTTCTGAAAAAATAAAATCGGCAATCCAACACCATAAGTCAATAATATCAATAATAAAAATAGTTTAATATAGTGGCTCACTCAACGGTCTGGTATAAATGTAAAATTGTGGTGGCCCAATTACGGTATACCTTTATAAAAAAAAAGATTTATTGTTGTCACTAGGCATTTGCACACAGGAGGGGGGAGGTGGACCTAGAATTTGTATGCATTACTAGGTTGCATCTTATACATAGATAATATAATATAATAATATTATGATAATAGGCACATGATCTAAGTATCTTATTTTTGTGTTTTATATCATGGAAGTACAAAATCTTAAAAAAATAAAAATAACATTGATACTCGATAATAACAATAATTAGTAAAATATCTTGAAACTGCATGGTATATGGCATGGCTACGCCAGGTGAGAACAAGCCGAAGTATTACTTTAAATTTAAATAAAACCTTTAATTTAAAACCAAGATATTTAATAAATGATAACAATTTATGACAAATTGGAAACTAATAATTAAAAGTTATTAGGTACTAGTTATTTGCCATGTTGGTCGATCATGTTTCATACTCTAAAAAAATAGGGTATTGTATGTTCATTACCCCAATATGTGCTAATTTACTTTAATTTACGTAACAATACTTTTATTAAAATTAGTACTCTATGGATTGCATTTTTTCCTGACTGCGCCAATGTATTTGTAGGTACGGTTGAAATAAGAAGATATATTTTGAATGATTATTACACTATATTTTTGATACAAAATAAAAGTATAGCGATAATAGTATATACGTTGAAGGCCCTAGCAAAGCTGCTAAGCCGTTGGCCACCTGAGATCGGATCCAGATCATTTGTCGGTTGTGTTCTCCCGAATCGTGGTCGTTGATATAACGATATCAACATAATGTAAAAACGAAGTTGTTAAATCTCGTAAGAACTTACATAATATCCCCTTCAGGTAGTACTGAAAGAACCCTGAATAGTTACTATCAAGAGGGTATTGAGGTCATTAAAATAGGTCGAGATTATAATCACTCAATATTTCATCGGGCGATGCCCATTTCCACCAAAAGTGGACCTTTCTCTTTTCCAAAAATAGTGTACCTTTACCCTATCCACCAATATCTGCTTCCACTAAATTAGATATTCACCACTCATGCTGGATTACATGCATAATGGGATTTCCATTAGCTCACTGTTAATTCAATAAATGAAAAGGTATTATATAATATTAATATACTTCATGTGTTAGAAAATGTTAAATTTTATTTAAAAAGATTGTCAAATATAAAAATGTGAAAAAAACGATTTATTATGGTGGGTATATTTTAGTTATGGAAATTGTATCTATATATACCTATATAATTAGTTGATGTTTTTTTTTTAAATTGTAGGATATACTTTTCACAAAATCGTACCAGATATTTTCTTTTCATTTTTGTAGTTCGTTATACTTTGGTCATTTTTCTTTTGGTGAATTCTTGATGATCTTGTTTATTATTTGATGTGTTAGAACTTTTTAATTTGATGTACACGTCTGTCTGAATTTCTGTTACTAGAGCGGTTCTTTCGCTTTTTGAAAACTTTTGGGAATTTTAAATGTTGACCTCCCGAATGCACCAACTAGATTTACTTTCATACCAGAAAAGTTGATGTTGAAGAAAATCGAAGCACTTTTACTGCGAGAAATCATGATGATAGACAATAAAAAAATAAAAAATAAATAAATATAAAAACGCACATCATTGTAAAATCAATACATAAATCAGAATCTAAAATTACGTTTTATTTAAAACATCCAGTTATAATGCACACTCCAAACTGTGCAAACATTTTCACTTGTTCATAAAATATTATTCTGTTTGATATTATCTTGGTTATTCGAAATACTTTTATTAATACTTTTTTAAGGTAATTGCGATAACGGTTTAACATAATATGTCATATAATCAAATACGATAAAGGTACAATATACATTGATTATATGTTTATATTTGTATACATATACATTTTACATCAATTCGAAAAACTCAAAAAGTATAGGTATTATTATTTATTACCGTATTATACAATTAAAAAAAAAAAACAACCAATTATATAATATATGAGTACAATATACATAGCTAAAGTATACAATAAGTCAATAACTATTTATCACTCTTTAAACTCAGCATTAGTATGTTAAATAAACTTATTACTGTATTAAAAGTTTTAATATCAGCTAAATATTTTGCTAAAAATGTGGTTAAATTAGGTGAATTTAATTTGGTAGAAACGGGTATTAGTGAAAAAGGGAAAGGTCCATCTTTGGTGGAAACGTATTACGCCCATTTCATCATGTCTATCATAAATCGGAATACATATTATTCTGTCGACTATCAAGTATAGGTATCATATTTTGATTCACACACACACATTAAATGTATTAATTCCAGTAATTAAGCATGCAATATTAATTTTAAGTGTATTTATAATGTCTACCTAAAATTTCAGAATCAGAATGACACCGAAATATGATAGAAATTAATGCGTAAACTCGTCGGTGGTCGGTTGGTACAATGGTACATGACACGTAAACACGTCACCGGCACAAAGTAGGAAACTAGCTTGTAGAAAGGTTGCGTGGACGCATTACTTACGTTGAATGTGTTAATAATTTTAATTATTTGTCAATGTAACATTGAAATATTTGAGCACCTCAAAATTTAAAATTTTATTTGCCACAACTGCACAAGTTGAAAAAATATTTTGTCATCGCTTTTAGATTCTAAGTGGAACGATATTGACCAAGACAGTTCATTTTACAGCTATTAGTATTGTACGCCGAAGCAGCACTTACGTTTTTTTGCATGTTTGCAGTTTGCTGCACCGACTCGCGTTGTGTCGAGGATAGGGGGGAAATAGCCAATAAGTGCGTAGAAATTACAACAATAATAAACTATAAAACTTAAAAATATAATAATTGACATACGAAAACCATATACATTGCAAATGACTAAATAATTACATAATATAGCAAACCCACTGAAAATAGTGTGTTTGACCCACTGACCAACTAACAAAAGTATGTATAAATGTCGACCTGTATGGCAGTATCCATGACGTCCTTACGGATAGCGGTACTTCGCCGGAACTACGACGGCGGACAAATCTCGGAAATAGGAGTGAAAACCGAATTCGGGAGAGACTGAAGCTCGGCAAAGTGAAAACGGCGGTCCAGCTGGATCTCCGGGAACCACGTGTAAACTGTAGGGCGGCCCGTCCGGTATGGTGACGGATTGCGGATGCAACACAGTCGCGATGTCAATCAACTATCACAATTTTGAATTATTACGCCAAACCAGTTGGTGGGCGATAGACAATAAATAAGGGAGCTTGGTATATAAACCAAAAAAAAACACCTTAATCACTGAATCGGCACTTGATGCACGACAGGGCGGCGGGAACGGTCGCGGACGTACGCTTCGTTCAACTGCCGAAAAAGCAAGAGACAGCCGGCGGGCGGCGACACGACTTTGCGGCAAGATAGAAACGTCGGTCTAGATGATAGGGAGGGAAGATATCATGTTTTCGCCTTTAGGTAAAAGTAGTGGCAGCAAACCGGATCCAAGTTCAAACAAGTATAATATTTCTAACTTATCACTAATTTAAATCACTAAATTGTGTAATATTTCAATACAAGTCGTTCCTGTAAAACTATATACAATGTACAAAACAAATGTAAGTTTAGAATAATATGGTATACATTTAAATAACAACAACTATGATATACATATTATAGATACATATAGATATACACATGACATACCACATACATATATGTACTATGTATTTATATATATACATAGTTTAATACAGAGAACAAATTGATGATGATCCAGTATCATAATATAATTCACTTGTCGTATTATATAAATGTTGTTTGTTAATGTTTCCTGTTACAAATGTTGTATTATATATTTTCAACAGTTAAATAAAAAATGTTTATAGTTATCATATTATTGTATAAAATCTTATTGTATTATTTTACTTTACATACAAAGCAAATTTCAATGTAAATGTATACAATACTAAATATAAATTTAAAACGCAGCTGCAATTTGTCATGTTTCCATAGGTAACCTTGCTTTCATTTTCAATCATTAAAATGTATTTCAGTTGTTAATTTTATGTTAGTAAATCATAGAATACCATCAACATGATTCTATTTAAAGTATACGTGCTTGTTAGTTTCTTATCTGTATTTAAAGCACAATTAAAATTTATGCCTAACTTGCCTTTGGTAAGTATATTAATTCATGTACCTAATTATTAAAAAAAGACATACCTGTTTTATGTTTTAAATTATTAATTATTTGTTTCATAACTATCAACAGTTACGTAAATTGTATTATTACAGGGAGAATATCGATTGATAATCACAGCAA